AACGCAAAACCACGTTCACATTGCCGCTAATCCTTCTCCAACGATAACAATGTGTCTCTCCTTGCTTCAAGCCCTCGATAGGACAGAAGATCGATCGCAACCACGCATACGGCGCCACTCGGTAGTAGCCCGCAATCGCTACCACCCCCCTCGCAAAGCCCAAGTTCGACGTTCCCTTACAGCCCGCTCAGCTGGTCCATCATCTCGATGTTCTCCACGGGAGGTGTCCATAACCGGAGTCCCATAATAAGTCCCCAAAACTTCTGCACACTCGCCCAATATCCGCCATCATGCGCCGTGGAAGCGGTCTAGCCCTACTAGTATGCCGGTGTCCGAGTCGAAGAATGTGATGGCGGGACGGGAAAGGCCAAAGGATCGCGGGGATCGCATCCGAGCCACCATCTGCCGACGACATATCACCTTACAGGACCAGCCCACACACTAGAACAGGTGCATTGCAGACCGACTTCGGTCCACCTCTTTGTTGTTCGATTCTAGTGGTCCGTCCCCTCTGTCCCTCGGTGATCAGGTCGCAGAGGTACAGTAGTAAGTATGCTGGGGCTGAGAGTGCCTACACAACGTGACAACTAAGTTACTAGTAGTAGTAGGAGGAGGACAGGCAGGGGAAGAGTGACAACAGACAACGCCCCAGCATGATGCGGATGGTCGAAAACGGCTCACCCCACCCTCAAGTATCCAATCATGTTCAAGAAAGCGGCAGGTCAAGCCACGGTCCTCGTTAGCATCTCTATCAAGTCTCCCGTCGAGTCGGTCTAGGCCAGTCTCTCTCACCGCCCATCCGTCATGGGGGGGTTGACGTTTGCAACCGGCATCTATCTTGAGTATTGTCGGGGCCGAGTGGGAAAGCGCAGCGCAGCGCATGCAACCAAAGAAGCAGAATTGCCCGATATTCTCGCAAATCGGCATATGGAAAATGCTGTGATGCGAAGCCCACAATGGTCGCAACCCTCTCAATAACTCCCAAGCAAGGAGCAGCCCGCAATTTACCAACACCACTGTCCATTGATGGAGTATCGGGTCGCTGATCGACAGAAACTGTCCCACCCATGCTTCAAAACGCGGTCAAACTCTATCATAAGTCAAACCTATAGCTTGGCCGGAGCTGTCAAACTGGATATGAGAGTTCTCGATCGTCTTCCGGGGAGGAGCCGGCCAGCTTCCCCTGTTTCCAAGTGCAGGGAGCCTACGAGACAAGGAAGACGTCGTATTGTTTATCGTGGGAATGTGTGATGCTTCCAAAGTGTGAAGATGGATGTGTCTCTTGGTGGAGCCATTTTGCAAGACTTTGGCAAACCATCCATCCTGTCGGATGAGCACCCCCCCTTCCCTCTCAAACTCTTGTCAACCTTTGCATCAAAACATATTCTGGTTGGAATAGAGAATGACACCGCATTCAGCTCCACCTCCCTAGGCACTCCCGGCTCCGCCGTCGCCGCCGCCGCCGCCGCCCAAGTTTCTGTCTGCCTGCCCACCACACCACCCATCCAAGGGCTCCAGCGGACCCTCCATCAGCCAACTTTTACCAGATCAAAAAGTCCGTCTCTGGGGCGGCACGCACACCAACAAGGCTGGGCAGGACCAGCCATCCCAAGCCTCTCCCCCCCTCCATCTTAAGTGACACAGTTCTTCTCTGACCACTCACCGGCCGGCGATCGTGGGTAAGGACTCTCGGGCGAAACCCCTCACCATATGGGAAACTAGTAGTCTGTTCTCCCTTTAGAAGTCGTCATAGTCATTGTAGGCTCGCGTGGCAGACTAGCTATTTCTGGCAACGGCATTTTTCAAAGACGTCTCCGCCCATCTTCTTAGCTGTCTCTCTATTAGTATGTGCTTTCTCAGCCTGTGCATGGCCTTGATCTGTCTGCCTTGCCCCCTTTCGGTAGACGAGTTGAGACGCGATGAAGAGGAAGAAGAAAATCAGGACGGATATGCCATCCCATACACACTCCCTCCCATCCACCCACTCTCACTCTCTCTCTCTCCATATCAGCCCGTAGCGAAACACAGGGCATGGACGCCATTCAAGCCCAGAAACCTGCATATGGTAGAAACAATGCGCATTGTTCCAACAACTCACCCACATCCACTTTCTAAAAAAGGGCCCCCCCCCCCCCCTTCCACAATATTCCCTGACTGAAAACGCACACTTGCATACACCATCTACTGCGACGACTACAGTATACCGCCTATGTGCCGCCCGCTCTAACGCCGGCGCAGGACCACCACCACCCTTACCAACAGCAACCAGTACGTAGTGTGTAGTATACAGCCCTTTCATCTGCCAACGGAAACATAGCTTAGACAGAGAGAACGACCCGCCGTAACCCTCATCAAACCATCTTTCAAAGTTCCAACGCTCCATTTACAAGGTAGCCGTGCCATATTGATTGCGAATGACCTAGTCTAAACAGCCAGCACTAGGGGGAAAAAAGACAAGAACCAAATGTGCTCCACTCCAAGGGAATGCCCAACGAGTAGGGACGCCCTACCACCCTCCATTACCGCAGTGCCCCAGCAATGCATTGTAAGGTGACAACGGGCGGGCTAAACAGTGTGTGCTGCATATGCACCATGTTTCCCTTCCAGTGCCAATGCCAATGTGGTATCCGACTTTCTCGGGTGCAGCTATTCTACTTTCCGTAATGTGTACATGTCATTCACCCCCCCAATAGGTTGGTCATGACACCCCGAACCTAGAAACCTCATGTACCAAACAATCTTATTTTATTGATTTTTTTCTTTCATTTTTCATTTTTTCCTGTTCTGTTCTGTTCTCTTACTCTTTTATCCCCCCCCCCCATCTATATGTTTCCCACCCGTGCCATCCATGTATTCCCGTATCCACTAAACCTAAAAGAGGAGAATCTCATAAGGTCAATCTCATACGGTCCAAGAAAAAAAAATAAGAAAATTACGACAGGGCTTTAATTGTCTCACTTACATAGTACTCACACCCCCAAATTAAGATCCCTTCCTAGCCAGGATGGGTCGGGGCCACGGGAACAAAAAAGAACGCTTTGACGAAGAAGGTTTAGCCCCGAACAAGGCTTTAAAAAACGATAAAAAAAAAAAAAAAAAGAGGCCAACGCCCCCAGAAGACAGGGATGCACGACCAAAACAGGGCGAACGATGACCGGTTTCCCATGTCAGTCCACCGTCCAATCACGGCCCCGTTCGATGGAACCTTCGACAGCCCTGCCTTTCTCAGACGCATGCTCAACCTCTCACCACTAAAATCCGATGTTGGAGCGAATGAACATCTTTGCGCTGCGCCGTGCCGTGCCATGCAAGTGAGTGAGGGAGTAAGAGGGAGGAGGTTGGCTCACTCGAGCCAATGAACTGGGCCAACCCGGCTCCATCATGTTGCAACCCGTCTCTGCCTCTGCCGTGATTGTCCATTATCACAATGGGCTACTGCAAGTTGCTTTTGAGTATGAGTGGTGGCAGCAGTACCATCACCAGCAGCACCAGCAAACAGTCATGTCCGTGACGACGTCCTGCAAACATGCTTCCCTCGAGCACCACCGTCCGGATGGTGTGTGGTCATTAGCTACCTTTTTTTTTTTTTTTTTTTTTTTTTTTTTTTGGGCGCACCAAGTCGCGCTTTCGCTTCCTCCAGACTTCCGTCTCAATAAGGAAGCAAGGAACAAGCATGCATAAAGCCGGCAGAGGCTAGGTAGGCGGGCGCAGAGGAAGAAAAGACAGGGGGAGGAAGAAAGGGTTGTTAGAGTTCCTCAAACGTCTGTTGGTTAAAGAGAAGAGGACGAAGGGGAGGGGGGAAAAAAAAAAAAGAAAAAAAAAAGGAAGAAACGTGGGGGCTGTAGGGAACAACCATCACTGAAAGTTGTCAGAGAATTTAAAGTAGGAAGAATAATTTCAGACATTCTGGAAAACCCGCTTTCCGCAAAGCTCAGAGGAGTGAGTAGTGGTCCCAAGTAGTCCCTTCCCTAGCACTAGCATAGAGGAAATCTAGACGCCCGAGACTCTGAAGCTAGCCTCATACTCCCCGTCGGCTGAGGTCATCCACCATACCACTTACTTGGTAGCCCAGATTGGGACACAGGACAACGTTTTTGCTCTCAGTTTGCAGTTAGGACATTGGCACTTCAGTTTTGGGGAGAAGAGTTTTCCCTCCAAGTCTTGTTCCTAAAGGTTGCTTCAAAAGTATGCTCTTTACGTGTTTGTGTAGTGCACTTCTAGCAGCGCTTTTGAGAAAACGTATCAATTCTTGCGCGAATATGCTTCAACGCTAAGATTTGGGATCTTGGCCCAGGTATTGTCTAGATCGTCTTTTCCTCCCATTGTCATCTCATGTCAACCCAACCTGTTTCCTCCTGTAACCCCCCATCCAAGTGAAATTTGACAAGATATGGTATCTCCAAGCGAATGCCGAGGGAGAATCCTCGTCTGAAATTGGTTCCCCCCGAGATGCTTTCGCACACACATGAAATATGCATTAGAATCGAATATCCTGCCTTCCTTGGATAGGAAGAAAAAAAAAAATAGAAAAAAAAACTCCAGCCTCCCCAGTCTTGTGACCGCTGCGCCTGATAGAGATGCTTTCCTGGCTTTGTTCCGTGATTGAGTCGACCGTCACTCTTGTCTTTCCGTATCCCAACTCCGCGCTAACAAAGAAAATTAACATAATAAAACAGACACCCGTCTCCAAATCTGTACAGGTGGTTATGAAAACAAAAAAACGAGTAGAAGCCAAAGTTCCGGACTTTTTTCGCTGGGCTTTTTTTTGGTAGATCCTCTCCGGACTTTTGGATCGAAATGGCATAATGGTCCACTCATCATAACCGAATTAGAAAATCCATGGGCCGACTACTCCATGGGCTGAACGTTGTTGTATTAGGTGATAAAATGGTGTTGGTCCAAGGGGCCCCCATCCGGTCTGGTATGGGTCTATCCAGTAAATCCTTGGGTCGGCGAGACAAGAATCAGGCGGTTGCCTGACTCGAACGTATATAATGGTCCTAGTAGCAGCCCAAGATAGGAACCTGGTGATGGAAAGGAACATGTGGATGGATGGCGGGAGCCTGCTGGGCATACTTGATCACATCTCCCCACCAGAACGGGGCGAAGGACTTGGGCGGGCAGCTGAACGCTTGCACCGGTACCTGAGGCATGGGAGCCGGAATCTGGGCACGGATAGGTGCCTGTGCTGCCACGGGTGTGGGCACGGGACCGGTGTACTGCTGGGCCATGTACTCCTGGGTAGGATAACATACTGTCCTGGGATCCTCTGGCTCAAATGCCTGGGTATGGCACGTCTCCTGTTGTTGTTCCTGGAGGAACTCCTCATCAAGATCGTCAATAGTCGAGCCGCTCGAGGTGAGCGAACCGTCATCCGACGAACATTCGGAACCCTCGTCTGAGGAAGACGATGCCGGCGAGAGAGCTTGATCGTAGTCGTCGACGATGGTGTCCTCGCATGTAACGTATTCGGTAATAGGCTCTGGCGAAGCCGGTGGTGTTTGAACCGCCGCGGTGGGTACGGCGGGGATCGTGAACCTCGAACAGTTCTGGATACTGTTCCTAAGCTCCGACAGTGTAATCCTCTGGTCCGGGTTGCGGGTGAAAATCCTGCCCAGGATGTCGTTCAGTTCATCCGACACTGGGAGAATGCTCTTCAGGGTTTCCGGGGACCGGGTATAGGCACGGTAAGTAGAGTCCTCGAAAGAGGCTTGTTTCCACGGGTTGCGTCCACAGGTCAGGTTGACCAGAATAACTCCAAGGCTCCAGACATCATTGGGGGCGCAGAAGTAGAAAGGTCTCCGGGCAGAGTGGTCCAGGCATTCTATCAAGAGGGAGAAAAGAAAGTGTCAGTTGTGTTCAGGGAAGGGAAGGGGGGTTTGATTTGCAAGTAAAGTAGAAGTTCCTAGGAATGGAAAGCCTACCTGGACTCATGTAAAAGGTCGAGCCACATCCATAGTCCTCAGACCGGTCGGATGAAGTCGCGAGGCCAAAGTCGGCAAGCTTGACAGTCTCACCGTGGTCCGACACGAGAATATTCTCCGGCTTCAAGTCCCTATGGTAGATTCCGAGAGAGTGGCAGTGCTCAACAGCATCCAGGATCTGGAGGAAGACTCTCTTGGTGAGGTCATCGTTCCCGACATACTGACCACATTCGGTGATGTTATAGAACAAGTCACCCTCCGGGCAATACTCCAAGATAACATAGATGCAGTCCGGGTCGTCAACGATCTTCAACATCGACACCACGTTAGGATGGGCCGATGCCAAATAGTGTAGACGGATCTCGCGGTTTTGGAAGGCAACCTGTCGGCGGTCCAAGGGAGTTCCATCTGGATTGAACTTGCTGAGGCACTTGACGGCATATCGAACTCCAGTCTTCACATCCACGGCAGTGTAAACGACGCCATATGCGCCAGTACCCAAGATGGTGGTCAACTGCAACTTGCCCTCAAGGAATCTTCCTAGCCTCTCCTCGGGTGTTAATGGGATGTATCGCGCTTGACAGTGAGGTGCGGTGGTTAGGGGTTGTTGGATCGCGCACTTCGTGTTGTCGTACACCGGCGACGCGGGGGGAGTGGGATATCCAAATCCTGACACATGCTGCATGTTACGTGATTTGCGGGTCCTTAATGGGAAATCCTTCTTTCTCTAGCGGTCTGGGGTGGGATTCTCGGGCGAGATCCAAACAGAGAGAGAGAGAAAAGGAAAAGTAGAAACGGCCTTGTCCTTCGGGAAAGTATGTCCTTGGAAAACCAAAAGCAAAAGAAAAAAACCTGGGAAATGTCCTGTGGCCTTTTGGGTCGAATTATCCTTTGGGTCGTGTAAGATGTCGGTAGCGCAAGACGTCGAGTCAACGAGTCAAACACGGGAAGGGTCGCCTGGGTTTGGAGCGTGAGGTGGTGATGGATGGATGAGAGTTGGTTTGGTCGAAGGTGGAAGGGCGACTGATAGACCAGTGCTCCCAAGGGTCGCAAGGAGATGTAAAGAGGTCGGCGGGAAGGAGTGTAGTGAAGAGTTGATGGTTGAGATCCAAAGTCCGACTTGCTACCTGCACGATGGTGGGATATGGATGGTTGATAATGACTGCCACGCACAGATGAGGAACGAGGCGAAATGATGTTAGCGCTACGTCTACGTACCCTTGTCGAGTGTGTGTTGCGTGGAGCCTCCACCACGGCCGGTGGCTCCAAGGGACCCCCAGTCGCCTTCGACATTAACAGAGCAGGGGTGGCCAGCTTTCCATGTCTTGGGTGTGGGTCGACTAATGCACCATCTATTCTTGAGTTCGACGTGAGCAGCGGGCTAGCGTTGGGAAGCCAGAGGGCCTGAGAGTTGATTGGGAAGGGCGTGGTCAAGGGGTGTGCACAGATTGCCAGGTGGGGGTGAGTGACCAGCAGAGTTTCTTCGCCGGGGCGTCGACTAAGATGGCACAAGGATGGCTGATTGGCGACTCTGAGCAATATACGAGCAGGTATAGTCTGACGCACCAGGTAAAGTGGCACCATCCCAAAGGGGGGTGAGATGTGAGGGCGTGCAGTGTCACTGTGCTGCTCTATTGGAATGACTCTCAGTCTCTCCTAGGCTCATCGACCGTCACCCCCAGCCGTGCTCCATCTACCCCCCTGCCACGGTTGCTGGCTGAGTGTGTCAGACGAAACGGATGGCCGATGGGTGTCGAAGAAACGGGGCGTGCGTGAGTCGTCGCCTCCAAAGCACGCATGGGACGACCCTGACGGGGAACACAGACTGTCTCTTGCACTTTGCCCATCCATCCCAGAGCGAGCGTCGCCCAGTGCTTACGCTGGTCTCTGCTCTGCACTTCTTTCTTCCTTAGTTCTGCCTGCTCTTTGGCAGAAAGGGTAGTCGAGTGAGCACAGCGTCATAAGGGCATAGGAGGACAACAGGTAGGCCCTGTGATTAGGGATTTGCAGGATTTGCTCCTGGTTCTTGCTCAATATGCTTGTCCCTTACCCATCACAGGGCGAGTATGGCTATGTCTGGCCGTTGTTCGCTACCAAATAATCGCCCCAAATATGTGTAAATCAGGCATAGAAGCAAAGTCGAATCATGATCTAATGAGACATGAATTCCTTTGCCGCGATGTGGTAGTCATTCTCCCGACGAACGACGTGGATATGCTATGGGCTTGAACCGGGAGCATTGTCAATGCCTTCCAGAACTGTCGCCGGGCGTTGTTGTTGGCACCGGGAAGGCCATGTAGCTTTTGCGACTCTGGGCAAACATTGCCATAGGAAGGCAACTTGCGATGCCCAGTCCAACAAAAGCGGTGGGTAGACTGATTGGCTCCTTGTTGCGGTCCTGTGGTGCTTGGCATGCTGTTTGCATAAAGTATGGAAGTCAACAAGTGTGGACTTTCAATGGCCAGCGGCTTTTCTGTTGCAGAAGCTGCCTCGTAGGCTGGTGACGGATCAATGCTGGCCTCGTCTGGCTTGGGTCACTTGGTGGCCATCGCTTCCTGTTCGAGTCTGTTGGTAGAACTGATTGGGCCTTGGGGTTCGCAAGCGAACAACCTCAGGACACCTGGTTGCAGCGCGCCAGACCTTGTGGCTGCACTATGCGCAGATCGTTCTTTTGTTTCCACATGATTGGCCACACAGGCTGGGTTCGACGAATCAAACGCCGCGACCCTTGGCTTGAATGCTTGCGTCAAGAGGCTGGTATGGTGAGCAAGCAGCTATCCGTATATTACGTGGTGATGACTACTCAACACCAGCCAATAGACCAGTGAAGCATGTTTCCGGACTTGTGCAGAAGCTGCGTATTTAGTTCTAAACTAGCGCTTCTCCTTTTTTTTTTTTTTTTTTTTTTTCCTTTTCAAAAAGGAATGCTCTCTTACTGGTTGAGTAAATGATAGAAGCACATATATCCGCAGCCTGGTGATTAAATCTTTCACATTGATGCCACACCATGGACTCAGCTGGCCAATGAGCAGCGACGGTTTGGTCTTGATCCTGTTGTGCAAGTCTGGCAACACCAACAAACTGCTCTAAGCTGTGTTGGCTGTGCTAAATGTGGGCTGGTCCGAACATGGAGCAAACAGGCCGCGGAGGATCATTTACAAGAGATTTTTTTGGCCCGCCGTGGGCCGCAATGGCCGGTCAAGCCGGGCCTGTCTCATCAGATTTCAGTAGGAGCGCGACAAGTGATGGGCGGCGGTGGGTCAGAATGTTGCGGCCTACAGGCACCGGAGGCAGCGCTCAGGAGGAAGTCGAAAGGACACAGTTGTCAGTAGTGTATACACGTAGCGCAGGCAGAGCCACACCGTAGACATTTGGTATCCGGTCAGGCGCGGGCTCTCCTACAGTCCCAGTCTATTGTCTCCGGGGTTCCCACTCAGCGTTTCCATAAAAGCGTTCTGTCAGTCTTGGGGTCCTGCTCCGGGAGGTCAGAGGCTGGACTCGGTGAGAGTGGAGTTTAAGGCGGGCGAAAGAAGATTCGGTTTTGCCTCCTGATGGGCTTCTGATGCCGGCCAGTGACCGTAGCCAACGTGGTCGTGGGTCGCACAGGGCCTGGGAGATGAGGAACGACCGTTGAATGGGCGAGCCAGGGCGAATTCCTTGGAAGGAACATGACAGGGGCCTTGAAAGATGACTGGAGGAGAGCAACCCCAGGATGAGATGGGCGCCACAACGCTGCGTTGGATGTGCGTGGTGCATGCGTCTTTGCAGAGATGCTGCACGTCTGTGTGGCTCGGGGCGGTAAACGGATAGAACGTGGAGGGTCCGCTCAGGGGGCGATTCGCTGGGAGGGCCAGGCAGTGGTGCCTGAGGTTATACGGGTGTGTCATTTTGTTGCACCAGCAAGTGTCAAATGATGATGATTGTGCACAATAGTAAGACCTGTGAGGTGTTCGGCGCTTTGCCTGGCTGTCGTAGTGTGTGTCTTCCATTCTGGTGCTTGGCTAATGTGCCAGTCATGAGCCAGAAGCCTGCAGGCGAGCAGCCTCGTAACAACAGATGGGGTGCTGGGCAGGGATCCCTGGCCACATGTTCGTAACGAGTGAGGCTGTCGGCGACGGAGCTATGATGGATCATGATGTGGAGGTCCCATATAATGGTCTGCAGAGGGCTGATCCCGAAGGCCCAATAGGCAATCTCGGGTGCCCAGGTAGAGTAGCATAGCGCCCGTGTTCATGATGCAGTGTAGCATCGAAGCTCCCACCAGGCCCAAGCAGTTTCGCTCGCTCTCCTGAGTATTGACTCCTCTCTGCAAATCTGTTCACCGTCTACAGTGGCCATCCGGACAGATACAGAGACTGGAGTCGCTAAACTTGTTCTGGTGGTGGTGGTGTGGCGCCCCATGATGCCACTGTTGGGATCGAGACGCAGTGATTGGGTAGAGAATTCGAGTCGATAATTTCGGCCTGCGTTGAGAAGGGCTTCGATGGGGTTCTTCGCTCAGCTATGGATGGGACGGGAGGCCATGACATGCCAGTCCAGGCCGGGCCATACCATGGCAATGAGCGCGAGAACTCGTTACGATCGATCCAGTCCTGACATCGAATCGGGCTACTCGGCTAGGGGCCGCTGAGAACTAGCACCCATCCAGCGGCATCGAGCATCAGTCATCAGTGCGGGTAGTGTGCCCCCATACGATACGATGCGTCGACAAAATATTCTTGGGGGTGTATGATTTGCATGTTTGATGAAGCGCCGCAAAACAAAAACAGGCCCGCGACACTGCGCTCGCGAAGCATGAAAGCCAGGGAGCAAGCATAGTATCTCCGTGTGTAGCGTACACGTTCTTGAAGTTGTTTCTGCACCGGCCATTCTGGCGCTTGCGGTATCAAATCGTAAGACAGACATGTTTCTACGAGAGTTGAGAAGTACTGCGGCCTGGTTTGACTGAAAATGGTGGGGGGGGGGGGGGGGGGAATGACTTTGCCATAGCTCCAAGCAGCGCTGCAGGTCAACGAGGGCAGAGAGCAATAGGCAATCGAAAGGGTTGGCAAAGTCCGTGCTCCCTACAATGACCGAACCAACCAACCCATAACCAAGATTGTAAGCCAATCAAATGCGGGCATTAAATGAGTTGTTAAAAAAAAAAAATCAACGCGCTGGAAGGGCAGTCACGGTCGGTTGGGAGGCAAGAAACGAGGCAAAGAGGCAGACGCAGGCAGGTGGAGAAGGGTGGAATGGCAAATGGGGAATAACAGCAGATCCAAAAGAAGAAACTGCATGTGGAATTGGTGGCTGCACCTGCTGACAGCCGCCCGCTTCCTTCCTTCCTTCCTTCCTTCCTTCCTGCCTTCCTATCCTTCATGTGTACAGAGTATCCCTACCGAGTACGTACTTGCTTGCTTCTTCCTTCCCTCTCAATCCCTAACCTGCCATCTCCCACCTGCCACCCTGCTCAGGTGGTCTTGCCTGGCCTTCCAGTGCCAATGTCGTTGCTGCCCGTCACTACATAGTATGAAGAGTATCTTGACAAGTAAAAATGCCTCAGGTGTGAATACTGGTGGTCGCCCCACCCTATCCTAATAAAACAAGCGGTCTGCAGGAACTGCAGCGGTCGCGGGCCACAATCTCTAGATCTGGACTAGCGCATCTGTCAGATCTCATCGTCCAGCTCGACTTCCTCCACAA